CTTAAAATTAGACACTTCAGGTTCATATAATCTTATTTAAGCATGACAGGCGGCATTTCCGTTTAAAAATTTTCGTGGAATTGTCACTTCTTTTTTAAAAAATTTTAAATTTAAATTCAATACTACAAATCTCACCACAGTAGCATGACTAGGGCCAAAAGAAATTCAATAGCTAGGTATGAAAAACAAAAGAATTTTATTTTTTTAATTTTTTTCGGTTCAATAATGTTGGGTGTTAGATGTAATGATAGGTGGAGTCATTGGCCGTTTTCCTCTAATTCATTACATTATTCAGTCGCCGTCGCCGTCCTAATTGAGGAGGCTTAACACATTAATGCTTTACTTTATTAACTTTCGATCCAATTCTGAATGGTTTCTTGTTCTTTCCCTTGAATTATATATCCTTTGACAGATTCGGATGGTTCTAAATATAATATTTATTTTGTAGTATAATTTACAGTAAAATGTGAATTTTATATTTAGACTAGAGGTAGTATATTTATAGGACAATTTTTTTTATTGCCTCCTGGTGTGAGGAGAATAAATATATATATCTTTTTTTTGGGCAACTGAGGCTAAATATTATTTAAAGTATGAATAGAAGATGCGATAATGGAAAAAAAAAAGGACTAAATAGTACATTGATAAATATTAAAAATATATGTTTTGAAATCTATTACCTTATTTTCTAAATTAAAATGCTTTAACCATAACATTATTTGGTTAATTATACATTTAACCAAGTTTGTACAATTTGTTTATGGTTTATTATTATTTTATTATTACGAGAATATATTATTGAAAACGGTCACTGCGGTCAAGATCGGGGTTTAAAGCTGGCCCAACCCAAACTTGACCTCGTCTGAAATGTTTATGTGCATGCTTGGAAGGAAACCGTTCTTGAGTATCTACTTGTGTGCTGTTCTCTCATTATTAAATTATTTGATTTTACTCTGTTAGTGCCCTTAACCCTTGCAGTTTTGTCCTATTATAGCATTGTTAGTCCATATACAAAAGTTAATTATACTTACATGGTAAAATTAAATGATTTAATAAGGAGAAAAAAACGCACAAGTATCAAATTGAAAATTAAAAAGAAAAAACTGTATAACAATGATTTCCTTTTATTTTATTTTTTGTGTATACATCCAATGACGTTATGAGAGGGTTAGAAAATTTGATGGGATTGGCCTGTGCTTAAACTATGATGTGTGTGCATAAGCGAAGAAAATACATAATTAATTTTTTTGAGCCTCAGAACAATAGACTGTGATCCTTCGATGGAGTATCAATTAAGAAATATTAATTACTAGATCATTATCTATTAACGTTTCGATAAATATCTTTATTTTTTTTTAAGAAAATAAATACGATAGTGAGGTGTGGAGACTAACCTAGTGATCATCAAGATAATTCAGCATAACTTTTTTTTTTCCATAGAAGAAAACAAAAACGAACTTCACATGACTTCCCATCCCCCAGTGGAAACGAGTTTATTTTGCTTTTGCTAATAATACTGAATTTCTTATTAATCTACAAAATGAATACTAGTATAGTTTTTCTTTTGCAGGTATGGGTATCTTTTTACTGAAAGTAATTCTATTCGAAACATTGTTAGGTGTTAAATATGAACACCTCTTCTGGTAAAAGGTTTAAAATCATAATTGTTTTTCTTAGTAAAAGATGATAAAATATATCTATTTCTTTATTCATTTTGGGTGAGACCACCTGATAAACAAATGTTAAAAAGTTTCTAAATATATGAATTTTAGTTTCATTCACGGAAAAAAAAAAACAAACTAAAACATGACCATGAGAGGGAGAGGAGAAGAAAAATCAAACTAATAAAGAAGCATCAAAAAGCTTGTTTATTGTATAATGACTCGCTGGAGGTCCAACTTAATGTTGAAAAACAAAACAATAAGACAATAAAAATGCATTATCATGCCTTTTATGTTAAAAAGACTTTGAAGTGAATGTTTATTTGCAAATAACTTTTTGAATTGGAAATGATGTTATGAGAGGGTTAGAAAATTTGGTGGGATTGGCCTGTGTTTTTTCTATGAGCAGACTTAACAAAATATTTACATACTAATTAATTAATTTTTTTATAACTATGATGTGTGTGCATGTGCGAAGAAAATATATAATTTTTTAAGCCTCTGGACAATAGACGGTGACCGCTCAATGGATCAAGTCTCAATTAAGAAAGACTCCTCCAGTGTCAAATATAATATCCATTTTGTAATACAAAAATTATACTACAAAATGGGTCTTATATTTAGGACCAGAGGAGTATTAATTATTAGATTCTGATCTAATAATGTTGAGATAAATACATCTATTTATTTTTTTAAATAAATAAATAAAATAGTGAGGTGAGGAGACTAACCCCTTGTTTGGAAGGAGAGAAAATAAGAGAAGAAAGAAAACTAAAAAAAAAAAGGGGGAGAGAAGTGAGTTTTTCTATGAATGAAAAAAACTGGAACAAAAAAAAAAAGTTGGAGTAAAAATTGAGTGTGAGATTCGTCTCATTTTCTCTTCAATTTTTCTCTCCGCATACTGGAAGAAAATGAGGAGAAAATTTATTTTCCCTTCACGCCCTCCGTCTTTCATTCTTCATACTATAGTCTTGACATTTATTAATAATATTGAATAATATATAATTCATTTATTTCTTTTTATTATATCTAATTTCAAAAAATTATCCAGTTTTTTAATCTTTTTTACCTTGAAAAATAATATTTTTCTTCTAAAATATAGTAACATATTTTTATTAAATTATTTGATAATTCCAACATTTATATGATTTGTTTCACTGCAGTATTTAATTTGACTTTAAACATAATATATGTTTAGAGAGAAGGGTATTTTAGTTATATTTGCTTTTTTTTTTCCTATTTTTTCTCAAGTTTTCTCTCCTCTCTATTTTTTCTCTTCCTACTTGTCTTTCTCCTGACTTTTTCCCCCATCCAAACAGAGTAGAACCTAGTGAGCATCAAGATAATTCAACATATTTTTTTTTTCAAAATAGAAAACACAAACAAAGTTCACATAACTTCCTATCTCACAATGGAAATGAGTAGTTTTTTATTTTGCCAATAATACTAAATTTCTTATTAATATGCAAAATGAATAATGGTATAGATATCTTTTTTCACTAAACATAGGTATCCTTCATATTCAAGATAGTGCCGAACACTAAATATGAATATATCTCTCAATAGAAATTTAAATATTAATTTATCAAATTGTGAGAGATTAATTTCTTCTGCTAGCTCCAATCTCAGTGTTGTAGATTTTTTCTTTGGTACAAGGTAGTAGAGATTTTGTATTGTTTCATGCCCATTAAGTGTATCTTAGATAAGACCCAAAACAAGTATTGGCCTGACCCAATATTAGCGTTCATCTATTTCAGCCCAGGAGACTACTAACAGTCAAGGAAGAAAAATCTTCTTTTTTCTTTCCCCTGGGGATAGAATAATCTTATATGTGTGGAGTGACATAACAAAAATCAAATTCTTATCATAAGAAGCTTCAACTGTTTCATAATATGATTCCTAACTAATTACAAAAACTTTTAACTAAATAACCAAGCTTCTTTAGCTAATGAATTTTATTGAGAATGATTTTGATATTCTGCAAGAAATAAATAATTTTAATTAATTTTATTAACCTATATAAAGTTGTTATTAAGCGTTTATAATATTAACTAAGGGGAATAGTAACTTAATAGATATTTCTTCCACCAAACGGTTCTTCCATAGCCCAAGCCTTTGCCTGCATACGGCTTCAACAGAATCCAGAGGCCCAATATACCATTGCAACTGCAAAAACTTTTGAAATAATAATAAGAAACAAAAATGAAAGTTTGTAACCGCAAGAAAGTGGCGTGCGCATAGGGAAATGTTCCTTAATCATGCAGGATCGATGAGGAGAACGTGGGGATTCTGTGATTGGTTTCTTATCGGCCAGTTTCGTTCTTAGAACAGGATTAGGCTGCTAGCTTATTATTTTATATGTACACTTGCCTCACCAGTAATTCCTAATATACATACACATAATTATTTGATTAATATATCTTGTGCTCTCCGTCAGTATCATAGTTTATATTGTCCTTGACCTCTCATAAGCAAGAAACCGCCATTAAACACAGAAGAAGGAGGAGAAGGAGGAGGAGGAAGAAGAAGAATCCTTTATGTCGTAGTTTATTCAATTTCGCCATGTCTTCTTGTTAGGTTCGTGCATGGTTCATAAGTAAACCACTAATCATAAGTAAACTACTCAGTGGGCGAAAATGGAAGAAGAAGATGAAGAAAACAAGAAACAAATAATTGATCAACAACAAAAGTACTTAATATTTAAAGAAAGATACGCTGTTCTCCTGATCTCTTTTTTTTCCCCCTATATTTTTAAATTTCTCCATTCTAAATATCTGAGTTGTATTAATTATTTATAAAGATGTGTATAATTAGTTTTCCTAAAATATTATTTTTAGTTCATTACATGATGGAGAATGACATATGAAATAATTATGATTTAATTAGATATCTAGAGTATCCGTTAAGATCTGAATAAGAATATGCATCCATTAGAATTAAAATTTATGACAGTAATTATTTTTAACATCTTGCTATTATCTTTGATTATGATTAGGATTTGATTTAGAAATTTATTATTATTTTATATTTCTAGAAGCTTTATAAAAAGTACCAGGGTTTTCATTTGTATTCAGTTTTAATGATTGAATAAGAATTGATATCTTTGATTAGTTTCTTATCGACCAGTTTCGTTCTTGGAACAGGATTAGGCTGCTAGCTTACTATTTTATATATATACGTGTCTCACCAATAATTCCTATTATTCACACACATAACTATTTAATTAATAGATCTTGTGCTCTCCGTCAATATCGTCGTTTATATTGTCCTTGACCTCTCAGAAGCAAGAAACAGCCATTAAACATGAAGAATAAGGAGGAGGAGGAGGAAGAATCCATCATGTGCATCTCTGAAGACGGTAAATGCAGGCCTCTGGGGTTTCTGCTAGGGCTTCTCTTTGCCTTCTTGTCTCTGCCCCTCTCTCAGTTATTCGAAGAATCCCAAGTAAGAATCGTTGGAATTAATATTTCAGGAATGATATCATTGGTAAGAAGGATTGTGTGTGTTATGCAGGTTGGTATTAATATGCATGTGCCCATGTTGCCTTTGTGTGCCCATCATGGTTGAGTTTGCTTTAGCTTTGATCAAAGCTCCAATGTTGGTGATGGAGTGGTTCATCTCTAAGATTCCATGTTAGACTTACATATGTGGTTCTATTACTGATTCAATTCAGAATATTCAAAGGGCATTGTACGTGCAGTTTAATTTTCACGATTCATTTCTTCTGATTCAGAATTTATCATACTTTTGATCTTGCTTATTACATCTTATGACTTTTTCTTTCCGTAAATTTAATATAGTAATAGTTTGTCCCTTGCTCTCTGTTTTTTGTTTAACTAACTTCCATTTATCAGGGTCTCCTTCGGTTGCCCCTTTTAATCGTCCAGTTCAGCCTCATATATGTTTCGTTGGCCATTACCATAAGGACGCATACACACGGAGTGTTTTGAAAAATTGGAAAAAAAAATTTTGCCTAATTAATCAAAACAAAAGTTTTAAAGATTTTGCGCACAAGAGGCATAACTTTAGGTGGGGGATTCACTTTCAATGGTCACCACCTAAGTCATTAGCACTAAATCGTCCAGATCAAAATTAGACGGTTCAAGTTTAATATAATTTTATTTTTATATTTTATGCGTTGTTTGGCTAGAGGTTTTTTAAGGGGAGGGGAGATGATGGTTCAACGTGTCTGGTCTAAAAAGTGAAGGGGAGGGGAAAAAATTTTTGTTTTTAGTGCTCCTATCCTCTCCCTCTGCTCCTCCCTCTAAATTTAGGGTTTTTTTGGAGGATGAGAAATTTTATGTGTCATCCTAACTAAATTCTCCTTACTAATTATTTAATATTTCAAGTTTTTCCTTTCTTACTAAAACCCTTTTTTCCACTTCCTCTTTCTCATAGCCGCTATCTTTCATCGTTCTCGGGCTAATATTTCTATCATGGCTATGATATTTTTTCATGATGAGACAAGTATATATATTTTTATGATATGTATATATTTTATTTTTTATACACACATATGCTCCACTGGTCCTTAATATAGGATCTAATTGTTGAGGTGATTTTGGTCCTAAATATAAGACATATTTCTCATATTTATTAATATTTTCTAAATTACCCCTATAGATGCTCCCTCAACTATAATCATATAAAAGAGAAAGAGAGGATATTAAGGAAGATGATTATGGTGTTTTAGAAAAAACATATCATATTTCTTATAATTAACTAACTTACCTAACTTCTTTAATCCAATCAAATTAGTTAAATAGGTCTTATATTAAGGATCGGAGGAGTATTACATTATAATTGCAAAATTAATGAAATTATATAATTAACAAAATCATTATTTAAGATGGATATAATTTTTTGTCTCACGTACAGGTGCCTTGACTAGTTTTTTGAGATTCATAAATTAAAAAATAATAATTTTAATATAAATATTGTAATAAAATAATAAAAAATCTAAATAAAGAGATAAGGGTTTATATTTCACTTTATAATTAGCTCTCCTTTCCCTCCCCTTCTGAGCTAAACAAAAAAAATTCCTTCCCATTCCTTCCCTTTGAACCAAACAAAATGATAACTCCTCTACCCCTCTCTTTCCCTCCCCTCCATTGAACAAACCGAGCGTTAATAGTTTAATATATTAATCTGTGTAGAATCTGAAATAAATGTTAACTGTTAATTTTTCAAAAAAAAAGATTTTTATTTAAAAATTATTTGTTAAAAATTTTAAATTTCAACCGTTAAAATTTTATTCAGAGAGAAATCTCATGATCATAGTGGGAGCATGAAAAACAAAAGAATTTTTATATTTTATTTTTTCGGTGCAATAATTAAGGGTGCTAGATCAACCGTTGGGTGGAGTCATTGGCCGTCTCAGGGGTTTCTTGTCCTTTACCTTTTTTCTTTTGCCAACTTTGTTCTTTCCCTTTGAATTTTGCATCGTTTCATATATCCACGGGACATTCTTTTATTTATTGCCGCCTAATTTGAGGAGAATAAATATTATATATAGTTGTAGGGTTCAAGTATGTGAAAGTAGTTTTGTTTTAATTGTACGAATAAGTATTTTTGAGGTATGAAAATCATTAACTATCAACCAACGAATCAACCAAATATCAACTATATACTTGAAATTTTATAATACCCGATTCGTTCAAAAATGGGTCGGGTATGACATTATGAGATTTGAATATCAATTAATGAAATTTGAATAATATCTTGATTGGGATTTAAATATATTCAATTAAACGAGAAGCATTATAATTAAATGAGATTTTAATTAAAGGCTTAAATAAAAAAAATTAATAATTAATTTTGGGTTTGAATAATATCTTAGTTGAGATTTGAATATATTGAATTAAATGAAGGGCATCATTATTAAATGGGATTTCAATTAGAGGCTCAAATAAAAAAATTAGTAATTAATTTTGAATTTGAATAATCTTAATTAGGATTTAAATATATTAAATTAAATGGGAAGCGTCATAATTAAATGGTATTTCGGTTGGAGGCTTAAATGGACAAATAAATAGTTAAGTAAATATTGAGCTACCTAAGATAATGTAATCTATTAGAATTTCAAATCTAATCAAATATATTACTCTATACATGACACAGGAGAAAAATTTCCAGTTGATACCAAACAAGCATTAAAGAGTTAAAGAATGGATAGAAGATGCCATGAGATGGCAGGAAAGAAGGACTAATTAAATATTAAACCAATATCTTATTTCCTAAATTAAAATGCTTTATCGTGACATTAGTTGTTTTTTTTTTTGGGTCCAAACGTAAGATCAGTTGCTGATTATAACATTTAACCAAGTTTGCAAAAAAAGTTTAGAATATTATTATTCCTCTTGGCGAGCACATAAGATTGGGACTTGCTTTTCCTCTGTACCGAGGCCCAAAAAAACTTCGGACTCAACATTCTTGATGAATGGGCTGGGGATTTTTTTTTTGGGGTGATGAATGGGCTGGGGACTTTTGTTTTTGGGGTGATGTATGGGCTGGACTTTTAGCCCAACTCAAGTTTGACAGCTTTTTTTAAAAGAATTTGATACAAGGGCATTTTAGTCATTTAATTACATCTGCAAAATACCATATTAGACACCACTTTCTCTCTTGGGATTTCGACCTCTTAGGTGCCTAAATTGAAATATTACAATTTTAACTTCTTTTTATATCATTTTTCCTATAAGTAATATGCATTAATTTTTTTTTGAATAATTTTAAAAATTTTACTGGGTACTTTAGTATTTTTAATTTGTGAGTCCCATAGGTGATTAATCTATCTTACATGTTTTCTTTTTTTTTTTTTTGCCAGGTATAGTTATCTTCCTATTGGTGATAATCTCAAGGAACAAAAAATCGAACCGGAAACTAAATCGGTCCAGGTAGTGGGTCAAGGGTCACTGGTCAGACCGGGGTCGGACTGGTCATATTAAAATAATAAAATTTAATTCATAATATTAAAATAAAACAAAATTCGTAAATAATGATCGCTTAAAATCACCATTAAGATTATTGGTATGGACTGAAATATAAATAGTTGAACGATTTTTACCCCTCCTAATTTTTTATATTTGATTTGCCATCCTCCAAATCCAGAAAAGAGAAACATGAATTCTGTAAAAAGCTAATTTTATATCCATAATTTCATATGCAAATGCAATATCCAGAATTAATTTAATCCAGAGCAATCAAAAGCTATATTATTTCAGTAACAAAATTTATCAAGTACTCTCCTCCCTTTCCAAATCTCTCAACAGCCCGAGAAAGAAGGAACAAAGCAACTCTTTAATCCTAAAAACACAAACTAAGGGGAAGGTTTTGAGCTTACCCACAAGCCACAACTCAATGCACGGACCGAAGGTGAAGCTTCCGTGAACGATGAAGGCGAAGCAAAACATCAGTGAAGCTAAAGCATGGCGCTGGTGAGCTGCGACTTCCCGTGCAACTTGCGATGTGAGCTGTGACAGGGAAGCACGACGCCAGTGAACGACGAAGGCGAAGCAAGACATAAGCGACAAGGGAGACAGGAGACTTGCGACTGGGTGTCACTGTCAGTAAATGGCCGAACTAAGAGGTCGTCGTCAGTGAAGCTATGGATTCCGTGGAGGGAAAGGCTGGAATCTGGGAGACAGAGCAAGGCGATTTGTGATTTTTGGGGAGGGGATTTCAGATCTGCGAAGGGAACTCAAGAAGACCGAAGACGAAGTTGGAGGATTTTGGGGTTCTGGCTGAGAAACGGTCTCGTTTTGCTGGTGAAAAAATATTAAACCGGTAACCACCGGTTCGGTGGGTTCCCGGTTCAGCACCGGTTTTTCCCGGTTGAACCGGTTTTTCACCGGTTCAACCATGGGCCGGTTTTTTAAGAAAACCAGACCGGATTGGTGACCGGTTCACCGGTTTTCCGGTTGAACCGGCCGGTCCGGTCCAGTTTTTTTTTTTCCTTGGATAATCTTGTTTGAAGTACTGTCATGCACTAATTATGGGTACTTCTCATAGTGGAAATTCAAATCTTAGTTTACCACATTATGAACGACTAATCCCTTCTACTAGTTCTAACATGTTGATATCTGTTTTACATGTTATGCTTAGCGATAACTTTTGCCATACATATTACCAAATTATTTGAATAAATTAAATTGGGTAGTTGAAATGTGTTGTTCAGCCTCTATTTACAGTGGGCAGAGACAAAAAAACTGACAAAATGCTGCGATATTTAATTCTAGGATATTTCAAGCCCATGATTTTGTTAATTGGGTCCAACAGTTCAACTTAAGGCCCATATTTTTTTAATTAAAGCCCATATGTCTGCTGAAGCCTTATTGTCAAGTGAAGAAATTTTGAAAAGATGCTTTCTAAGGAGCTGTTTGGATGAAACCAAACCATGGTTTGAAAAATAGCTTCTGGAGAATAGATTTTGAAAAAAATAGATTTTGTGAAGAATAGATCTTGTGAAAAAGTGATTCTGAGAAGTGAAAGTGTTTGGATAGTTGTTATTAGAAACACTTTTTATATGTACAAATTATTAAAAAAAGCATAAGTTAATATGATAATTACATAAAACCTAGATTGTATGATATATTTTAATTTGAAGGAATAAAATTGTTAATAATATATTTTTTACTA